AAAAATATTATAATTTACACATTATAAATTTGTTTATAGCTCGATTGTAGAGCAAAAGTTAAAAATTCGATTTTTTATTTACAAAATATTTTATTTATGGATATAAAGAAGTTAATCATTAAGACGTTTAGCACAATCTTTTGGATCATTTAGCAGTTTAGCACAATCTTTTGGATCATTTAGCACAACTCGTTGCAACATGCGACTTGCAAATCTTGTTTGTTTTACGTTACATAATGCATGTCCAAATCTATTTTTGAATGCATAGGATAAAAGTGGTACGTGATATCACGTCGCTTTCACAACAAGAAAACAGGAAAATGTTCCTAATCATCCATTCTAATCGGATGTAAGCGTCGCACGAATGCACTCGCGGATTGTGCCGTGTCCCGTGCTAAAATTTCGTCGCTTTCAATCTCGCTGAAAGGGAATCTTGCACTATTCACTAAATTATGATTGCTCGCGCAAATCGTCGTTTCACACCGGAAAAGCCCGCGTCACTGTCGCAAATTGATCAACGTCGACAGGTGGTCGACGGAAATCGACTTTGTTTCGTGGGAATAGTCTAGCGAGTGAGAGTTACTGCTCGGCTCGTTTGGCACAAACGGAAGAGGAAAGTCCTCCCACCTTCGTTCTTCCAGCATCGAATCTTTCTACACGGAACCAAGTATCGAAATGGTCCCTCCTCGTGATAGCGGAAATATATTGATCATTACGAATCAAGCTGCATTTTTACTACTGTCGGTTTTGATTACAATCTACTCATTTTTAAGAAATATAAAAGATATAAGATTATGAATCCCGTGATTATGAACTAAAACTATAATACATAAATGTATCTTTGATCGAAAAAATATTTTCATCGAGCAAATGTATAACTTATAATATCGAATATTAATGATCTAAGCCATATATAAATTTGTGTACATTTATAGACATGTAAATAAGTATATGCATCCACAAATGTTTATTACAATCGATTTTTAATACATGAAATCAAAATATGCCAGTAAAATTGCAAAAAATTATTGATAATGGAAAAATATGTATCATTGCTTAAGAAATTAAGGCTCCTGAGTAGTCGTCGCGGCCATATTGGATGCTAAATTTATTTAATTCCAAAAAGTATCCATGAATCTCTGATTGATGCAATGTAATATTGAATAATACAGCCAATATTTATATGTATTAATTTTAGCACGACAGAGATAATCTTTCTCGTGACATTTTCGTTAAAAATAAATTCTTATCTTAGAGTGAAAAATAACAAAATGGATTACAAGAAATCACTATTATAAACAAATTAATTGGTTCAGTTAAACTGTAAAATCAAGCGGATAATAAAGTGAGCAATGATATTAGATAGACTTTGGAAAAACCATATATTATAGAATAATAATAGAGTACAATGTTCGTGGGAATAATGATAAAATAAACCGTAATATATTTATATATACCTGACAATAATATAATAAGAATCTAAAATAACACGAATACTGAATACATATTATTAACAATAATCAGATGAGGGCGGCGTCGAGGAAGTTTTGGCAGAGAAACGGGCCAAGCCTAGAATTGTAATTAATTAAAAGAAAAATGCCGTAATAAAGTCATAAAACTGACAAAATTCGTGTTGGCATTTGAATGCGCTGCTTCCCCCCCCCCCTTCTCTCTCTCTCTCTCTCTGAAGACTTAAAAGAAGTACTTAAAATCACGCTGTTTCAGTATCATTATTAAAGATCTGCATTGCAAGAGATACGCAAATTTAATTTATCTAAATAAACTTATAAATAAAGGTCTGCCAACACACTAAGCGCCATCGTGTATTCGAATAAAAAAGAAAATTGAAAAAAGAAAAACAATATGTAACATTTGATACTTATTTTCATCGATAAATATAACGAACAAAGTCAAAATTATATATAGTCAGAAATCATTTATAACTATAATAATTTCATATGAGAATAAATCTCATTCTTTTGTTTAAAACATTTGTTCTTTATTAACAAAACTGCTTTTCGCGAAAGTAACGAATGTTTTGAATTTTAATGAAATTTATTCACATACTTGAAGAGAGGAAGGGAGATGCGATCAAAATATATATATCAATATATATATCATATCACGTCTCATAAATTCATGAGGCTATATCATCATTCAATCTCTGATTTCTCGAAAGTCTATATGATTATTCCAGGGTATATAGTCCATATTTAGAATTCCATATTCAATTGTGTAAAAATTGCGCGCGATATAACACATCGATTCGTTTACCACAGTTTGACCAAGTCGATGTTTGTATAAAGAGACGCTTAGTGTGTACTAAATAAAACAATTCTTATATCATGTATAGAAGGGACTCAGGTCGCAATATAATAATTACACAGCCTTATTCCCACACTGTTTCTAGGAGAATTCAGCCGATTGTAAAATCGCAATTTTCCACAGTAATCGAGGTATTTTCGCATCACATTTTATGCGACATGTTTCACCTTTTCTCCTCGCTTTTATAATTTCATATCTCTCTGCGGATTATGGTCCTTTCCATGCTACTGTATATAAACAAGTAACTAATCGTGAACTGAGATCTTTAACGTTACGAAGCACTTCGAGAACACGCTGAACAAACATGACTAATATTTGGAAATAAAATTGGAGAGTAGGCGGTTTTCTGGTTCAAACAGTTGACAAGTACATTTTAAAATATCGAAACATGCGACATGAGGATCATGATAAAAGTGCGGTTCGCAAATTTAAATAGTTGCAAAGAGTCTCCCTGTAGTAGTCCGAATCGGATATCTTAAAACTATTAGCTGGCAATACACCTAGAATATATATTCAGAGAACGGTAAAATTGTCGTGAAGAGGATTTCTCCTATAAAAATGCCGTTTCCAAATGCCATTAACTTGTTAATTTGTAGATGACACATTCAAAGTATTATTCTAAAAATATAATTATACTTTTACAATTTTCTTTAATAATTAGAACTAGTTCTTAAAATAGTTTTTTATAATAAAAACCAGTAAAATCGCGCTTTTTTCTTTAGAATAAAAGTTACCAAAATATTGCGCGCGCGTTTAATCTATTTGTATTCAAATTATATTAGAAATTAAAGATATGCAAATAAAAATAAAAAATAAATTCACAAATTAGATAACGTTTATAACAAAAAATGAAAAGTTTACAGCGTAATTAATAATAAGTAGTAATTTAATTTTACACTGCATAGTAGAATTTCATATTTTGTGTTTGTAAAAAAATAATGTGTGTGCTTCTGAGAATAATCTCACAATTCCTAAACAGTTATATTCTCGACTAAAAATTCGCACTATAAAGTATAAAAATATATTTTTAATGAAGCCGACTTCAAGATGACGCGTAAGAGCGATTGACTGGTCAAAAATCTCGTTAGATACAAATATCATTTGTTCTTGTCACAAAACTATCGGAAATGAAATGGATCGTGAAGAAACTCTCATCCTGTAAAGTTCAGGAAAAGAAGAAAAAACGTGAAGCCGACTTCATCGATTGATAATTAGATTTAAGAATTAATTATTACACATGATTCGTGCGTAGCACTATTTGCGCGATTAAAAATCGACTCTTTCCAACTATTTCAATTTAAAAATGGCAGTTTTATCCACCACTTTTATCGTGGCGGCATTGTGTGAAAACTGTTAGAATATAACGACAGTATATCGTCTACAATGGAGGCCAAATACTATTTTTATGCTTAGAAGACTGTTAGCATTAGATGGCTACTTAACGCTTTAAACATTACGTTTCATTAAAACTGTTCAGTTTTTGTTCATCTTTCGGAGACAAGATCGCTAATATGCGGTTCGTTTAGACGTCGCTTAACGCATTAAATAGGAAAATAATGTACGCGACGCAATCGTAACTAATCGAGGGCTAATTGGACGATTATGTCTATATAAGCGCAATAATTGACCGATTAGTCTCGATCAGGTTGTATGTGACGCATATTTCTCTTCTTAGGCTGATAAAACTGGCAGAATATCCAATTGAGAAGCGTATTTCCTCAGATCAGTTACTTTACGATATCCCTGTACATTCTTTCAACTATAAGATTATACGAGTTGTGATGGCAGATTTTCTGTCCTCTGTAAATCGCATAAATGGCTTTGAGTATTTGACGCTTACAGGACGATCATTCAAACTAAAAGATGAATGACGTTGAAGGAACTGAAATGCAATCAATTTGCAATTGAGAATTTTAGATAAAAAAAGTTTTTTGTACGAACGTGGTCAGCGAGTCGTTGTCCGATTCTTTCTGAATTGTTTAATTCGATAAAATGTAATATTAAAATGTCAATTGTTCGAATTAAATTCCATAATATGTATAAATATAAAGTAATATACAAATAACAGATCTTTATTAGAAGATTTAATATAGCTCTTGACAGCCAAATAAGATTAAGGAACTCTCGCTGACTGTACGTTCCTAAAGAAGTTATGCGAATTTCGATAGGGATTTCTCCGATTGCTTTGAGAAAGTTAAGTACGAGAGATGATCAGATTATACATTCTATAATAAAATGCTTCTTTCCTCGTTAATCTACGACAACACTCGTTTTGCAATAATTACACGTTACTGCGGCTTAAACCTATCATCTCTTTCTAATGGTAGTACTGTCGACAATGTCACTGTATACTTAACGAAGCTGGGTAAAACATTGGTTTACATATTTCAATCACAGAACGAATGTCTGAATAGCTATTAGCGGCTCAATAAACTATCACATGATTCATTAATTAGCGAAGTTTCTCAATATCGTAGAACTGGTTTCGCGTACATCTGTGACTACGTCGGATGTTTCACTGAAGCATTATTCTCGACGATAAACTTCGCGTTGCACAATACTTAAACATCGTTGTCTCCTAAATAATACATAAATGTATCCATTCACTCGAGTATCGCGCTTGTTTTACCCAGCTTTGGCGCTTAGTCAAATCCAAAGTGAATCTCAATTCGTTTCCGTGCGCACAGGGACGACACTAGGCAGCGTCCCAGATTATCTCGTACACTTAAAAGTATTTTAATATCACTCTCTTTGTTTATCCGACTCCCTTTTGCCGCGAAATATTGGAAGCAGATTGATTATTAGATAGACGGATTTCAATTAGCAAATGTGAGCTCGTGCTCTCAAGTGATCGCATTCGTCGCCGTAGTGGGTACAATAATAATACCAAACAAATCATTTAGTTCTGTTCAGAGTGTTATACACACACACACACACACACACACAGACATACACGCACATGCACACGCGCATTCACTCTCACTCATTCGCTTTATATATATATATATATCTGTTTTAAATCAAAACTTAAACATTTAACAAATTATGTATCATCACTTTATGTAAGGGACAACACTTATTTTTCTATAAAATCTAGAATAGAAAGAAAACTGAATTTGTCATTTCATTGGCTAATTTAATTAAACAAAAATCTAATAAATTCCACCATAACAAATGTCTTCTGACATTTTGGAACCTTACAATATCTTTGTAGTAATAGCTACAAAGATATTATAAAAATTATAATCGAATTATACTGAACTGCTACTAAAAACAAAATAGAAAAAAATCTATGTTTTAAATATGGCTATACGTTGTAAAAAATGATTAATCAAACTGTACATTAAAGTTCAAATTGTACCCAAACAAATGGCTTTCTTGACATTTCCATAGTCGACGATAGCTGATAAATAGATACGTTGATTTTACTCTAGTACTGTTACTCTAGTATGATCATGTACACTATGTTTGCAACAGTTCTCACAGCCTGTTGATTAATTCTTAATGATCCACTTTGCTATCTTGTTTATTTCGAGCTCTTGAGTTTACTCCAAACCTTTCAAGAAGTTCTTTAATAATAAAAGAACTTCAAAGTATGTTGTGTAATTTTTGAAAAGTTGTGGATCGCCAAGAATTAAAATATCGACTATCGAAGTGTCTTCTATAGATGACAATGTTTTCAGATACCGACTATCGAAAAATTCAACGGCATTGTGACAATGATTCGCCGCATCTGTAGAATTGCACACACTATGATGTTCATAATGTTAGCTATTTGCGCGATGATATTTGACCGTCAAAGTTTTCCCAAAGGAAGACGCGTAGATTCCGTCGAGTGGAAAGGCTCGAAATATCTCTTCTGTAAGTTTTTCAATCGTCAAAGGCGTGTCTCCTTCTCTCTCCTCCTCCCTTCAGTAGCTTTAGTTTTTTCGTGATTTCTCTATCGAATAATGTCCTATCTATTTACATCAAAGCTCTCGATCGCGTGACAGCACAGCTGCGTACCAGCCGTAAACCAGACTATCACGAGAGCACGGGACCGACCTCGGTCGTGTCTTTGCAGTCTTGAATGGATATCTGAGCAATCTCGCTCACTATTTCTTCCTGAGCTTCCTTCTTTAATATCGTGTATCCTTGTCCCTGTTCCTCGTTTTCGCACGTCGCTTTACCATTAGCCGTCTTCGTTTGGCCATTTACTTTTCTTTTGTTGAACGTCTCTTCGCCAGATCCGCCCGGGTTAATTTTAAACACGCTCTTAATAATGCTGTTCATGCGCTTCGGACTCTCCGACACAAGAGAATTATACTTATCACTTTTCGTCGTTTTTCGCGTTTTAACATTGCCTCTGACAAACTTGCTAGGATTCTTCTGAACAGTTGATTGTTGCACTGCTGGCACTTCCGTCTCTTTCGTTTCTGCAGGCTTATCTAATTTTACAGAATTTTTCTCCTCACATGACGGCGGATTATCAATGGTACTCACCCTTTCCTGATTATCGATGTCTTCTTTCTCCGTCGATGTATCCACAACCACGACTTCATCATCTTTTTTAAGATCCTCATTTAGACCTGTCACTATAATTCTGTCAAAAATCACTAAAGCAGTCTTCGGTTCCTCTGTTTTTTCTGCTGAAACTTTATTGTTCTCCGTATGATTAGTTATATCCTGCCGCTCTGTCAGTGTTTCTCTTTGAAGAACCTTAACAGGGCTTTTCGGCTTTGTAAAGGATTGATCTTCCTTCGTTTGGCAATTTGTACAAGAAGTGTGCATAGGTGAATTCTGCCTCTTTGTAGCATTGTTTTTCTGAACCACTCCCATATGCGGTCTACCCGTTCTGTGCGCATTATTTTGTACATTAAATGTCCCTGGCTGCTCGTGCTGTGGTTGTACACTATTTACGTGCATTTGTGGTTGCTGCTGCATCCTGCGAATATCAATGTGCATTACGTTATCCATACACGGCTGCTGTTGTTGATAAGCAGCGTATGGCTGAAAAGGCTTGATTGGGCTTGGAGGGTTAATCACCGGAGGAGTATTTGCGGCCGGTCCGTATGGCAGATTCGAGTTCGGATGCATATATTTAGTATTCACGTACTGAGGCCACGCTTGTCTAGGTTGAAACTGATGCTGCGTCGTAATAATATTTTGCACGATTTGTTCTTCTCTGCCATGTTCCCGGTAATTGTAACGATCAAGTGAGAGTACTTGTATTTTCCGTTGCGATATAATAGGGCTGGATACGAAGATCGGCTCGTTCTTGGTAATTATCGGACTCTGAGGCTGATGACTGTAATTGTCATAATGCATATTTTCATTACTAATAGTCCTGCCATATGCGATGCTCGAGTGATACTGCGGCGGTTGTGGAGTGTACTCTTGCTGCTGTTGCTGCTGCTGTTCCGGATACTGAGGATACTGCGACATAGAAGGTTGAGCGTCGATCCAGGTTTCCTGCTGGGGCGGACGTTGTTCACTATCACGAATGGCTAACACTGCGTTCCAAATTTCCTTCAGCTCGCCCGTGATATCTCGATCTTTTAGAATTGTATAATGACGACTGAAGAAAACCCCTGCGTTCATTGCTTCTACGAAGTCTAGTAGTAACTCGATAAAGATCATACGCCTCTGGTGGAAAATAATAATATATGTGATAAATGGATTACTCTCTCTCTCTCTTTCTCATCAAGAATTAATTAATAAGAAATAATTCTAATAAAAGTTTTATAAACTTTATTATTCTATAAATAATTGTTTATAAATAAAAGAACATTATTTACTTTTGGATCTTGAGCATTCTTGCCACTCATTCGTAGGACTTCTGGATTGGCCATTACAGCAAACACAATGGCTTCTGTTTTTGTGCGAGGTGGTGGCACTCTCATACCTCCGTAAAGTGGCACAGGCAGTGAAGGTTTGCGAGGCATTGCAATTTTATCCCAAGACAGTACATTTACATAACATGGTGCAGTAGTGCCCTATATCAAAAAGACTGACATTTATATAACATTCACGCTATCGACTCTTATAACATAAACTCTTATTACGTAAACAATATATTCTTACAATAATCATACTGTTATTATAATGGTATAATACCTGTATAAAATCTTGTATGCACATATGCGGCTGTGGAGGATTCTTAAAAAGTCGCGCACCATTGCGCTTCATTCTGGGCACGCCACTCTCCGTCATTTTGCAGCTGAAAATTAATTGAATCGACCATAAAAATTCTATACAAATAACTTTATCTGTGCTATCAAAATGCTATTTTTTTCGCATATAAAAATCTTCAATGTCAGCTATATGAATGACAAATTGAAGAGTAGCGATTGACTTATTTATCAGAATCATTTACATGCAGATACGATCTACACAATCCGTAATTCTAGTCCCCGACAACGCGTGAGCATCTACGGATGAAATCATTAGATCTCGAAATTATTTTCGTATCGGTATAACTTATTGCACGCATGGTATGTACAGTTTTCATCGTTCAAGATCCCGTATTACGAGAATTCCTACTTCGGCGGCCCGCGCGATACGCCGACGATATTGCAAAACATTCGAGAAACACGAAATCGCAGTTATAAAAACACTTTGCTATCAATATGGCGCAATACCGAGCGGTCGTAGTAGCGCGTTATGACAGATCGCGTATCCCGGGGGTGCCGTAAATGTCGCGCGAACAAACGGACGAACAATTATGTAACGCGATACGAAGGGAGAAGGACGATTTCGCGAGCGTTTCCGACCAATCGAGGTCGTTCGCACGCGACCAAGGCTACCGCGCGCCTCGTCGACATAACCCCAAAATCGCGACGACACTCGCGTCTCGTCGAGCTGTCGGCGACGCGAGACCCGAATCGCGCATCTCGAGCGACGAAAACCGATACGATTTTTTTTTTTTTTTTTCTCCGTAGTAACTTACTCCCGTAGTGGTCTTTCGTTAAAGTAAAAACGCTCAAACGACCACGGACCCGATGCGACACATTATCGGACAGATTCATGGGAGATGGATCCCCATCGTTCCTTTTGTTTATTATCTTCCCGGAGGCTCGCGCGCTGATCATGCGCAGATCGACACCGCGCGCCCTCTGAGCGGCCGTGACGCGTACTCATGTTTCAAAACGGGATCCGGCGTAATGGCACGCACACCGGAAGCACCTCTCGCAGAATCAGCTCGCAAATTCCCTAGAAAGCGTGTAACGTGCGATGTAACTTGTACGATTTCGGCGGGATAAGTTGGTCGCGCACAACTTCGGATTAGTTAGAAGATCGTCGGTTTGTTAATTAAGCGTGCGGTTTTCCTTAATTTCGTGTTATTGCGTTGTTTCGCCGGGCGAACCGTAATCGATCACAATGGAACGATGTAAACACGATGGATCACAAATATGGTAATTGTTATTCATTTTTCTCTTTCTCGAAGTAACGCGCATTTCTCTGCAATTTCAAATATCAGTCCATATTTGGTTTCAGTTAGAAAGAATAGTACGGCGAACAGGTTAAGTAGACGCCATATTGATCGAGAGAATCCAATATTGATATTTACAGTAATATTGTAATTTATTACAGGTGTGTGTGCTTGCGAGAATTCAGGGACGAGAAGTACGAAAAATTGGAGGCTGAACCGAGATTCTGTCGACTCGACTGCATCAAATGTGAGTAATTTTTAAACAATAGCATATATATATGCGTACTAACAGTCCGAATCGAAATTTTTCTCCTACTTCGATCTCAATATTATCAATCTAACGTCTTCTTCGATACTTTATAAGCACACACATACATACATAAAATCACAGATTATTCTATCTTAAAATTATTTAATTTATATACTTAATATTGAAAATTCTCTCTCCTTTTTGAAATTTTTAAGTGGGCCATTGTTCGTTTATTACTCTTTAAATAGAAAGTAAAAAGAGCATAAATTAAATCTATCAAAATTATAATTCATAAACATAAGAAATTTGAGGTTGAAAATAGAAGTAAAATTTCGAGCGCGCTAAATGCGAAAATTGGAAACTCATTCCAAGTTTGTCGAAAGAGCGTTGAGACATTTCAAGAATCTATTTTTTCTATAAATTCACAATATCGTGTCATTTTATTCCGGCTTTGATAAACCGCGAAAACATTATGAACTGTATGATAATTATTTATCGAGCAATAATAAATAATACAAAATTTCAAAATATTTACATCGACGAAACTTATCGTTCAACAATTTCGAGGCAATGAAAAACAGTCAGCGAGTCGAATAGCGTCAACAAAAAAATAATAAACAAACGCTCGCATGACGATCGAGCGAAGTGCCTTATACTGAAACTTGCTGTAGAGCTTGTAAGAACGGGCGGCTCGGAGGACTGTAGTTAGCGACTATTAATATCATCGATCGGGATCGATAGTTCTGCCTGCGAGGCGTCATAATGATATGGTGGATGGTGCGGACCTCTCTGATACTCGGCCGATACGTCACGTACACCGGTAACGATGTACAAGTGGCGTCAATAATGCTCGCAAACATCGCGCCCTGTTGTACAATCTGTTATCGTTAACTCGCTCTCTCGGAAACCCCCGTCCGCTAATGCTCGCCGCTAATGATCCGATATTAAGAAATAAAAAGATGGTGTTACAACGGTGCGATATAGCATTATTGGCGTTAAAATCCTTATTCCGCGAGAAAATATTCACGTCATAAACATCGCAAGTTTCTTTTTTCTTCCGCGATCAAGAGATAAATATCAAGATAAATCTATCTAATATACGACGTTCAATCTAAACTTGACATCAATTTTATTTTTAACGCGATTTAAAGTAAATTATTCTTTTTAATAAATTAATAAATTAATATTATTTATTAATTTATTAGATTTCAAAATCTATAGATTTTGAAGTAAGTTTACAACTTTTTCTCTTTTGTAAAGTAATTTTAAATTATTTAAGTTGCTTAAATATGGGTGAAAGTTCTATTTAAAATTTATTTAAAAAAAAAAAAGAAACTTATTTCTTGTACTTCTTTGCACGTGCGTTTAAAAATGCAATTGTCTCAATTTATAAATAACAAATCATCTCACGTCAAAGTTCTTTGACGAATTGAGCAGAGATATCGCGGAGAAAAAAAAAATTCGAAAGTATATTCTATCGATCGTCCTGTGTCGCGACTCGCGCAAATTTGTATCTAAAATCGCGCGAATTCTCGCGTCGTTAAAGCGCGCCTCGATCGTTCCGCTCGATCGGCACGATCTTACCTCTCGTAAGGACCCTGTAATGCGGAATAATGGGTATCCACCCACTCGATGAAAATTACATGAGACGTTCTCGGGCCCTCTCGTTCGAGTGGGCACTTTCTCCACGCGCGCGCATCTGAGGGGCACGTACCGCCGGGGCGCGAAAAACGCGAAGGAAGAATTAAGGCGCTGTGGAAAGAGGATGCGCATATATATATATACAACACGGCCGAGAATAATTGTTTAGTAGGTGCAAACACTGTAATTAAAATCTAAGAGGATACAGATCCGAGATAGCAAACAGCTTCGTATTGTGCCGCAAAGTTGCGCAGGTGGAACACTCGCACATCTGTTTTATATTTCGCGTTTACATTCGTTTTTTGCCGCAAAGCACGTTGTGTCAAAACGGACACAAAACGGAACGAAAATCTAGGAAAGGATTTTGTAGTTTAAGTTTGATTAAATAATCTTAAATACAAAAGAGATGAAAATTATATTTCTGTATTTTGTGTGTGAGATAGATACGCCTATTATATTATATAAATTTTTACATACGTATTTGCATTCGCAATCGCGAAATTGATATTTTTATATTAATAAGTTTTACAAAATTTTTATGTGTATTTAATATATGTGAAATATATGAAATCTTGTTGCGTTGTAACGTGAATAATAATAGTAGGTAAAAACGTGGGTTTGAAAAGAAGGAAATTACCAGGTGTGTTGTTACACGGTCGACGGCTTCACATGGCCGTCATTTAAATTAGTCAAAAGCAGCCTCCTTTCGAAAATTAATTGACGTATCGATTGGGCCGTAGACACATTGTATCGATGATGGTGTTGGTGGTGCCAAGGTTTCAGTTCATACTATATACTATATACCTACCGCATATACAATAATCGAATAATGACGTCGCGTTTTTTATTCAAGTATGATAAAATGCACAATATTAAAAAAGCGGAAATTATATATATATATATATTTTTTTTTCCTTTCCTTCTATTCACAATTATATAAAATTAATAAAAAAAATTAAAATTGTCACTTATTATAAAACAAATATTATATTGATCCTAATAATTGTTTTTAATATTGTCATTAAAAAAGTGCGAGTACTCTTGCACAAACAAATGGCAAACAAGATTTGTAATTATTATATTCTATGCTTATTATATTAACTGAAGCTTCAAGAACCATTATAATATACATTAATATATACATTAAATGCAACTTGGTGAATATGAAAACGTATAGTAACATGTATAGAATCCATTATGCGTAAAAAATCTCTCGCATTTAGTCAAAGATAACCGCAAAAAAACGAAGCGAATCCTATACGTACAATTTCTTGACCTGCCGATGCGCGTTTTTTTTTTTGCGACAAACGAAAAGAAATCTCCAGTTGCTCTCATTGCGTTCTTCATACTCGCCGACCGGGAACGCAAAAATGTCGAGCGCGCGACGTGCGCGATTGGAACGGAGACGCGCCGGATAATATAATAACGAACAAGGTAGACACACGCGCGGATATAAAAATAAATGGCCGTGGAGAGAGAGCGCGGCAACACGACGCGCCACACGCAGAGACCGCGCGCGAGACGTGTTTATAGTAATGAGCCTTGTCGTTATTTGTCCAGCGAAGGGGATTTATCGAGATACCTCGTGAGATCTTGTTGCTCGATCTTCCTCCCTCGATGTCTGCTTATTTTCTCCGCTGTTCCTCTGCTCGTTCTCCTCGTTCCCGCTAGGTTGTTAACCCTCTCGTGTCTGCATAGAAAAAAAACGAAAGGTTTGATTTTATTGGTGACGAAAAAGTAAAGTTTATATATATATATATATGGAGTGTCGCAGGACATCCCCGCGCCTTAAAAATTTTAATGACGGACTTTTCAGTCGAATTGGAGAGAGATCCAATATTTTATTAACTAAAAATGTTGAATTATTATTATTTATAATCTTTCACAGTTAATTGAGAAAATTTAAGGCGTTTTAAACGACACACGTATGCTGAGTTATCAATAAAAACGAACGATATTATAATATGAAGATAAATGTAAGAATAAAGAGAGAATTTTTTTTTTTATTTTCATATTAATAGCTGATTATAATATTTTAATTATTCGTAATTACATTTGAAAATAAAATGTAATATTATCACGTAATAACGTTAATTGCATGCATAATTCGTGATTTAATATCTGCATAATGTTTTTGCAACAAATGAGAAAGCTTAAACTAGAACATATAAATTATTTGTCACGCAGCTCTTCGTATAAATTGCAATAATATTTGTGAATCTGGTTATTTACAATGCTTTCCGCTGTTTATTGACTTTTCTCATTCGGTGGTAAAAATAAATTAATATAATTTTATAAAACGATTACTTTTAACGATTATTTATGAGAAATAAAATATTGCAAACGATATTTGTTGGAAGATATTCGCCGATTTGCGAGTATCGATTATATAAAATCGCGGGGACTTGGCAAATTTCAACGATCACGCGGTCGGGCATCAAAGATCGAGATGCGCTCGCTTGATACGATATTATCGTTGCAATGAATTTCGCACGCGATACACTTGTGTATCTTACCCCACCTCGGGAAAGAAAAACGGCAAGCGCGACGTAAGAAATTATCGGCAGTTTAAAAGATGATTTTGCGTTCGACGCTCTC